GAAAAGGAAAAATTTTTGCTGAGACGTCTAATAGGCTGATTCCTCGATAATTGTCGTAACATGTCCTATCACCTATCTTGAGAATTGGGAGCAGAATTGCTTTGCTCCAATCATCTGGTAATATTTCTTTTTCCCATACTAGAGAGTACATTTGTTGAAGGTGCGCTACGAAGGACGATGGACAGCATTTGAAAAGCTCAACCCGAAGACCATCTTCTCCTGGAGTTTTGTTGGCCTTAAGCTTATGGATAACTGAAATTATTTCTTCTTCTATTGGAGGCTCGCAATTGCAAGCGTATGCTTCGGCAAACTTATCAGATATATCAGGGGCAACAGCTGGCGCTTCATGGTTAAATTTGGCCTTTCCATCTTATGAGGCGATCCTTAATACTTTTGATTAGTACGCCATCGCTGTCTCTTACCATTTCACTAATCGTTCCCCGAGTCATAGTTGCTTTATGAGGAAGGCAAAATAGTTTCCTATGGTCGCCTAATCGAGCCGTCACCTCCATTCTTGAGGCCATGTCACTCCAATAGAGATTTCTGTCCCGCCTTGCTGCTTTTGTTGTAAATCTTCGAAGCACCCAGTAGTAAGGATCACCTGACATTCGTGCTTTGGCAACTTTTTCAGACAATTGGACAGTTGCTTCCGAACCCAACTAACGCACTTTCTACTAGTATACCCTAGCGTGGAAGTGGATGATGAAGTGGAGACATTCCTTTAGCTTGGTTTAATTTATCTGTTACTCAAGTTTGAGGTCGCCTTTCGCATAAATGACTGGAAATATTTCATTGTCTCCTCAATCAATCGTCTTCGGAACTCGAGAAGTCGAATTGTTGCAATGCCTCTCATCTCTGCAGTATAAAACGTTCAGTGAAAAACTGTGATAGAAACTGTGATAGACGTCGTGTAATTGCACGTCTTCGACCTTTTCCATCCCTTTTGCCTGGTATATCTTGCCGACACTTAACACAAATCAATCTAAAACATAATGTGACAGATCTTGAATGCAATGTTGTCATTATTTCTGACAATTATGAAGAACTATGATGAATAAAAAACGGAAACTAGATTCAAACATCTAGACTTGGTGTTGACAACGGCCGCGAAAATTGGCCTTTTAATAAGTCGAAATGTTTTTTGTCTAATATTCCAGACCTTAATGAGACCACAGTTCAAATAAATTCATCAACGATTGGAGAAATGTCGAATTTTAAATATATCAGATTTATCAGATCAGATTTAAATATCAGATCAGATTTCAAATTTAAATTTATCAGATTTAAATATATCAGATTTTAAATATATCACTGCCATATCTAATGGCCAGGCGGTAGACGAAATAGCGCTTATAAGTTGGAGCCAGAGATGCATTCTTTCATCATGCGAAACTTCCTTAGGATCTCGTAAAATCAACTCGAAAATAAAAATTCATTATTACACGGATTCTAGTGAGAGTGGAAGATGTCAGGAAGCCATTTTCCTCTGACCACTCTTACCTAAGATACACACTGTATACCCGACAAGTGAACAAAGTCTCATATTCTTGCATCCACATTCGCTGCAATAAGAATATGGCCACAAAGCATCGTCTGCGCTGATTTGGGCCTGATTGTCAGCTATGCTATGTTTTTCATATCATAGGAATTTACGCATTTTACTACTTACCAAACTCTGTTAAAAGAAGAGGATTAGTCAATATATGCGATGACATGGAGAAGATTTTGAAGGCAAAACGGCCCGGTAATATACGGGGCTTAGGCGGTGGAAAAAGGATTGGTATAGGAAATTTGGAAGCACCTTACGCTCGTCCACAGTGGATCGAGCCAAACCTGGTGAGGGCTACTAGAGGAAGAAAATTATTCTTAAAGAGTATAAATTATAATTATAAGCTTATTATAAGCAAATGTTGGATTAAAATTTAAACCACATAGAAGTTTTTCGTTCTTTTCTCATCTCCATTAAATTAAATATCTTTCTAAATTTAAACCAACAGAAACAAAATATCAAAATATCGCGAAGATAAA